AATTATTATTTTTATATATGAATGTTTCTGTTCAGTGCCCTGACATGACTTCTGCTGTGACTTGGTGCTACATAAACTGAATTGAATTGAAAAAAAACAGGATAATTGAAAAACAAATATTATAAATATGCAGACATATTACATTTTGCAAGCATGCTGTCACCTCTCTGCCTCATGTGAGCTGCAATTGAATTCTTAGAGAAAAATTACAATAAACTGATACCAGACAGAAGCATGAATGATGATGATCATCTTCATCAACAATTTCTTTCTACCTATTGACTACAGTTCTAGTAATTTAGTAAAAATATTTGAATATTCAACTGTGAATCCATTTTGTCCAAACCCCTTCTAAATCTAATGTAGGGTGGGGGGTTTCTTAACATGAATACAATATTTTTATACACAGCTTTTGCAGTGTTCTGAAGTAATGTATGCCATCTATGTTTTAGATAAACACTGATTTTTTTAAAAATAGTATGGTCTTTACATTTGTTCTTCACAGGCAACTGGGAGAATGCTAAACATAAGTGGGAAGACACAGAGGTTCGTGCGGTTGAAAAACACATGATGAATTTCGTCCACACATGCAAGGTACCTCAGAAAATACACTTCCTTCAGTGCATCAAGCAGAGCCAAATGTACTTGAGGACAGAAACTGGACTGGGTAAAAAATTGTCAGAAACCGGATCACTGCCTTGAAGAGACTGGCTTGTGCCAAAGAATTATTATAGTTTGTGATTTTCAGCCTAGTTTAGACATTTTGACATGCTGTATTAAATTTAATCAAGTAAGTAGATTTTTTTAATGATAGCACCTTTTCCTCCTCTTTCTTCTCTGCTGCTTTTCTTGATGTAATATTTGAGGTTTGAGCAGAAAAGGGATCATCTGAACATTTTTTGAAGTGATAATGTGTCAAAATAGTTTTCAATAGTTGGTATCTTATTTGCTGAAACATCAGTCATGGATCACAGAGTATGGAGAAAGACTTATGTCTTCATCTGGATTAGGCTACTGGGTAGCCAAATGAGTACCAGTTTTTCTTTTTTCTTTTTCAGACTTGCAAAACTACTTCCTCAAAAATAACACACAGATGTGAAAGAATTTGCATTAGTTAATTAAATTCAATGCACTTTTGCATGACAGTTTTTCAGTTTGTATGCTGAGCATAAACTTTTATTTGCCTGTAATGATGAAGTGGCAAATGTATCAATCTGACTGATAAGTACGTTTAGTCAGTCCAAAAGTTTGCTCATCTTCTGGTAGAATAATACATTCAGCAGCCTTCGCATCAGTAGTATATGCATGGTCTATCTATGCTCTGCACACAAACATATGCATAGTAATATGGACATCAACTGAGAATAAAGTGACAAACTTTATTAACAAAAAATGGTGCCATCCAAAAGTTTAAGGGTTTAATATTGGGTAATGTAGCATTCTTTGACACAAGTGTGTTGTTTTTGAGAAAGTTGTTTTATAGAATAAAAAAACACCTTGTTTGTTAACCATTTGCCTAGCCTTGACAAAGACATCTATTTTCTACATACTTTGTGCTCTATGATGGATGTCACAGCTGACAAGGTACTAACTATTCATAACAATTTCACTGAAAATTACCTCAAAAGTTATTAGACTATCTTTTTTTGTTGGTAAAGACACTTGCGTCAATGCAGAACCCTATGCACTTAAGGACTGAAACTAGACTGGTGTTAAAAAAATGTATCAAAAATTGAATGTGTGAATTGAATTGTATGCCAAATAATGATTGTAGTTTTTGTTTTGATGTAATACTTGAAATGAATATGTTGAATACAAAACACTTTTTAGCCAGTGAAAGTGTATTTTTGTTGCCCAAAGCCTGTCCTGATGACTCATGCTCTTTTCCAATGTTTATTTGAACTGCAGAGCATTTCAACAGTGTTCTGAAATTTAGTAAAAAGTTACTAAGCATTTTATTGTTGGAATTATTTTTCTTTTGCTTGTATTTCTTGGGCTGACATTAAGTCTCAAATTTCACATGATTTAATACTAAACAAATCTGAAATAAGACTATAAATTTGTTAAACATTTTGAAAAAATATTTTGATATATAAAACATAGTGATTTAACCAATCATCTGTAGCCTGAAACAGGTCCATAAAATCCAATAGGCTGGTCACTAGTTAAAAAAATTAAACTACAAAAAATTAGGAAGAATTTATATATATAAAAAATGAAAATACATTTATTTATGATTTTTATTTATTGAAAAAAAATATTTCAAGAGGGTGATATAGAAGAATACTTTTTTAGGAAAACATCTTGTAAACATATTCAATAAATAAATATTCAATTAAAAAATCATATGCAAGTGCTGTGCTTGAGCAGAAGTAAAATGTAAAACATCAATGTCAGAGGCCCAACTATGTCAGTATGTTGTGTGAACTAAAACAGAGTTGATCACACATTAACAGAAGTGGCTCAGAATTGGTTCAAACAGTGGTCTTTGAGTTTGTGCAGATTATCTAACTTCAGACTGGATAACAGATCTATGAACCAAATTAAGGTAAAATAAAAACTACTTTTGGCACAAAGCTAAACAATAGAGTTCTTAAAGATAAAAGGAAATTTTAATCTTGATGATCTAGAGTACTTTCTGTATGTCTTCACATTTGCATTGCTGCTTGTACAGTATATTGTGCAACATTTCTTTTAGGGTTGTATTAGGCAAGGTTTCCCCAATTCAAAAGTCGAGAACAACTGGCCAGGTCAATATAAACTAATACAAGGTTGCATATTTGTAGTACACTGTTTTGTTCATATTACATATGTTTTGAAATAGCTGTAGATAAAACAATGACTAGTCCCCAAAGGGATTTAAGGTACCCAAAGGTGACTTTAATCAGTTTGTGTATCTGTGTAAAA